TCAAATTCTCTTTTTTTCACGTCAGCATAATCTATCAAAACAAAAAAAAGAGTATTTTCTTCGGCATTTAGCCAAAACAAAAAAAAAACTTAAATTCAAAATGACATATCTTTATATTAAATTGTCACAAAACGACGTCATTTAAAACCCTAAAAATCTACAATATTCCCAAAATTGTTCATTATATTTGCATATGCACAGGTAGTATCACATTCGTGGGCATTTGACATGAGTGTTGGTGTGTGTGCATGATTTTGATCAAACAGCATCCTTGGTGGTTTAATACGTGGGCTTAGGACAATTAGACCTAGGTTCGACTAAGTCACACAAGTTGCATTGAAAACAAGGGTCATGGTTACTAAGAGGGGCTAATTTTGGATACGCACTTCATTGGTATTGAGTCCATAAAGTGTGTTAGTATTCACGGAGCCATTGGTGAAAGTTTATAGATGTCGTATTGGTTGGGCACCCCGTGGTGAAAGTTCATAAATACCCACCCCAACAAAGACCTAGGATTTTGTAAAATGATCATTGGATACTCAACATTAATGGTAGGGGCATGGAATTTATGGATGTCTGGATGTATACTCATGGCATTGCATGTGTTATGGGAGCCGGTGGAGGGCTCAGGTTGCATTGCATGTGTGAGTCTCACCTCATAATATGGCATGACATTGTGGCATTTCATTATTGAATTGTATATTTTTTAATGAATGTTTGATAGTTGTTTTGAATGTGAACATTTTATATGTATCTAGGTTGAGGAGTAGCATCTTTAGGAAATATCCTATTGAGCGTAGCTCACCCTTTATGGGAATAACATTTCAGTTGTGGGACAAGCGCCATTGGAAGGCCCTCAATTAGGCCCACGCTAATGAAGAAGCTAAGAGGTGGCTTTGAATTACATTTTGTAAATAAATTGTGTAATTTGTTTTGAACTTGTAAAATTATATCAATTTTTTTGTAATGAACTCTTATGGACTATAAATTGTGTTAATAAATGTATGGATGAGTGTGGAATGAGTTTGGATGGTTAAAGGTTGGAGGTTGGAAAGATTTGGAAAAAATCTGGGCTCAAATACTAGTACCTAAGTGATTAAGTATCGGTACCACGCTGTTAGATAACCCAAGTACCGGTACCTTGACTTACGGGTACCAAAACTTAGATTCCAGTGGGCTCAAGTATTAGTACTTAGGCACCAGGTACCGGTACCTCGATGAACAGAGGGCTCAAGTACCGATACCACAACATATAGATGTTGGTACTTAGCAAACAGTGGGCTTAGGTACTGGTACCTAAGTGATTGAGAACTAGTATCTAGCAAATTGGAAGACCTGGCAGGCAGAAGGTTTAGGTACCGGTACCACGTGTATGACGTACCAGTACCTCTTCCAAAAATTTTCAAAAATTTAATATAATTATGTCAAGCTTTTAGATCTTGAGTACTCTTGTCGAGATGACATAATTTGTCAAACATTAAGTCCTAATTGATAGGGATGGACCTTGGAATGGTCAAGTGGTTGATATGTGCACAGTTCAAGTGTTTGGGAGTGCTCCGGTACAAGGAAAATTTTGCCCAAACTCTATATGGGTTACGATCCCAGTGAAGAGGATGTGATGACATGTTGCCGGGTTATGCAACACTCACAGGTACTTCTGCGGGTTGATAGGTGATCAACGAGTTAAAAAAAAACCCCCGAATTTTGGGGTGTTACAATCGATGTGATTTATTTTTAGAGATTTTACATACATAAATGAATCTTTTTGTAAAAACAAGTCTAACAACTGCTACATCGGATATGTTTCATGTCAGGCAAGAAAAAAACAATGCTAAACACCCAAAGTAACCCAGAAGGTTTAATAAGTGTACACTTTAGTATGTCATAGGAAAAGTGTCAAAAGTGGTATTTGTGTGTGTGAATATGGAAGTAGCACGTGACAAACACGACAAAGCAATGATACAATATGGAAGTGACACGTGGTAAGCACGACAAAGTTTTGAGCAGGTGTGTGTGCGACAAGTGTTATACACTTGTCATGTTGCATGTCATGTGGTATGCATGCATGACCAGTGTCAAGCTATGAGAGAAGCTTGTCATGCAAGGTGTGCCACCATCTACTTCCATTTTCTTATAAATTTAGCCCCTTCCCTCACTAGTAACCCGCACTAAAGATGAAAAATGAGAGAGAAAGAAAGACACATGGTGTCAAAATCAATGGCAAAACGAGCTTCGATCGAGATGAAATTTTTGTATGGTTCTCCTAAGACGATGCTAATCAGGTGTATCAGTATAATTTTTTGGTTTGAGGCATGGTGTGGTATACAATACGCTTCTGTCTTTAAATCTCTTTGCAAAAAGTATCATATTTATAGAGTGAAATTCGCACCCATCAAAATAAAGAGATTTGTTTGAAATGAGTACTCAAGATCATCTTTGACCTACGAAACAAGCAAACATTGGAGCAGTCTGTGAGAAATAATGATCAAGTTTCCTTGAAATAATGATTGTAACAAGCATCGTTGATAAATCTGTACGTGCCACAATTGAGAGCCCAAACATAGCGCGCAAGAGCTATTTCATGGGATTGTCTAAACGGTGCAAGTCTTCGATTTGTTCTTGTGTGAACATGCACTTGTGAGTGGAACGTTCATCATCGTATTTTTGTACTTCTACCTAGCTTGTTGTAAGAAGGATTATTCATCTTCGCGTTGAAGAAGAATGGAGTACTGGTTGTGATATCTTGTTTCCATGGAATTGGTCTTTTGAACAAAGTATGCTGCCCTTTATTTGGGCCCTATGTGACCAACACAAATTGAGACAAGTCTGATACATTGTGAGCTGTCTTGGATACCAAAGAAACTTTCAAAGTTTGTATACTTATGATGTGTGTTTTGCGTGATTGGTTTAAATTAGGATACATATGATATGAGACCTATTAACATGTGATCTGCATGATTGGCTTAAATTATGATATATAATGTCTTAAACATAATTGAATTATCTTGATGATATAACAAAGAGACTCGGTCAAATACTTGAACCGACTCGAGGGGTCAAATAGAGTAGCAGTAGTAGTAATTTATAAAGATGCAACAAAGTAATGGAGTAAAGCTCTCATTGTTATTAACACTTTATATAGTTACAATAGAGTCTACACAGCTGGTACAATATAACCGATACAGCTGGACACATGTGGCGAAATACATGAATAGAAAGAATTCAAATCAATGCTTGATCAGTTGCTAGCTGTGAGGACACGGGTCTTCCTAGATTGATGCCTTTAATTTGGAATAGACTAGGAATTCGATTTATGTGAGTCTTTGCTAGAAATTCCATACTTCTAATGGGTCAATTGTTTGATATTCGATTTGAAATGTTAACTTATAAGAATTAAATGATATGTATTCAAGATGACTTAGAGTGTACCACTTAATTCCTAATTGGAAGGACCCTGAAACAAGGAATTAGAGTGTGCCATCACTACAAGAAATATAGTTTTTTGCGACGATTTTTTTCGTCGCTAAAAGTAAAAAAGTCGTCGCTAATTATTTTTTGCGACGTTTTTTTTTCATCGCAAAAAGTATTTTTCGACGAAAATTTAATTTTATTGCAAAAAAAATATTTGCGACGAAAACAAAATGTCGCCAAAAGTTAAAAAACGTAGCTAAAACCTATTCCCCAACATAATTGAATTAATTTTTCGCGATGCAAATAAATCGTTGCAAAAAAAATTTTTAAATAAAAAATGTTAAAAATATTAAATAAATTAATTTTTCGCAACGTAAATAAATCGTCGCAAAAAAAAATTGTTAAAAATATTAATTAAATTAATTTTTCGCGACGTAAATAAATCGTCGCAAATAATTTTTACATAAATTCAAAATGTTAAAAATATTAATTCAATTAATTTTTTGCGACATAAACAAATCGTCGCAAATAAATTTTTATAAATAAAATTGGGAAATATAATAATTTAATTTATTTTTTGGCGACGTAAAAAAAGCGTCACGAATAATTTTTATATAAATTAAAAATGTCAAAAATAAAAATTTAATTAATTTTTTGCAACGTAATAAAATTCGTCGCAAACAATATTTTAATAAAAAATATAAAGAATAATTTAATTAATTTTTGCGACGTAAAAAAATCTAAAAAATAATATTTTTAATTAAAAAATCTAAAAAATAATTGAATAAATATATTTGCGACGTAAAAAAAATCGTCGCAAAAAAGGTTCGTACAACAATTTTCGCAACGATTTTTATTTCGTTGCAAAAAACTTCATTTTTTTTTATTTTACATAAAAAAATATTTTTTTAATAAAATTTTTCACCTGTACACCAATAATACATGTGTTCAATAAAAACTAACATAATTAATACATTTAACATTTTTTTTAAAAAGAAACAAAATTTTATTTCCAAAAAGAATGAATTACAATAATCAAAGAACAAAAAGTTCGAAAAATAGAAAAAATAACTTTAATTCTTTAAGAGAATTTAAACCATCTCTAATTACATTTAATGTGTCTTAAACTTGAACAGCTCCAGCAGTCCAGCTCCATGCATTGAAATATCATCTTCATGCTCAACAGTATCCAAGATCTACATTATCAAACTAACTACCACACACAACCTTCCTCCTCCGAATAATAGGGACCCTGGACTGATCCTGATGCAAAACCAACCACTGTGAGAGGGTTACAGTAAAAAAGTCCCAATGATATGATAACTAGACTCTGGATATTATAAGTTAGAGTAGATGTAAGGTAATGCCTTACTCGTTCCAAGCCGGTGCAACAATGTTTAATACTCACATACCTTATGTTAATGTTAAGTGCATCAGGAATTCATATTTTCTGTACATTTGTACAAACAAATATTACCCATGCAGATCAAAGACAAAATTTTGCAGGATTCACCAAAGATTTCCCCAATGAAAAGCTCAAAATAAGAAGTTACCATTAACAAAGCAAATAAATTAACATACTACGAATTTTAGAACAATGAAAAGGTGATTAGGAAAAATACCTTTACAATCACACCACAAACAATCAGCAAACGAAAAAGCATGATGCATTTATCTGTTGCCACTTGGAAAAAATCTGGGGTTTAGTTTGTCAGCTAGAAGAAACACACTCAATATAGTGGAACTAAAAACCGACATACCTGCCTACCAATCTCCTTCACAAGCTGGGAGGCCTTTTTAATAGAGAACTGAAATGTATCCAATTCATTAACAATACGACCCATTTGCTCAATCTGCACAAGTTTGGGATTTAAGAGAATAAAGAGATCAGAGATGGCAAAAAGCAAGACCAACACAAAATGGAGACGACTGGTGATTTATACTCACTTGGCCTTTCAAGGTAGTAGCAGTTTGGGTTCCCACTTCTATTGTTTGGTGGACAACCTACTGATCAATTGTTAGTTTAGGATAAAAGTAACAACAAAATATAAAGACATGTCAAAGTTAATCATTCACCTGTTTGGAGCGTTCAATGGCTTGATCAGTTTCATCCATTGTCTTCATCCCAGCATTAACAAGCTCCTGATTTGATATAGCTACAGGGCAACCCATGAAAGTGAAGAACTATGGCTATGTCTAGTAACTACATGTATATAGATTACAGAAGATCCAGAAAGTATACATCATTTTATTTAACGCTCATCAGATGATTTTTGGCACAAGTCCAATATAGGCATAGATATTCTCAAAGGTGCCAACCCCAAATAGTTGGGATTAATAACCTTACATTATGATTAACATTTCAAATATTTGTTGTAACACAAATTTTCATTACTCGGAATAAATCACTTTGAACAGAGAAACAGGTCAAGGACAATGATTATATGTATGTATATAACTATATAGGTAAGCATATGAATATAGACACAATGCCTCATTTTCACCTCCTGCACTCAATCCACAGATAAAGTCTTCAAGGATCTTAACTCTGCACTCTGCATCTTGGAAAAGGTCAAACCTTCTACACTTTTAAAGGAACTTAAAAGTAACTTTTAACTTTGACTTTCCTAAAGTTATACTCTTGCTTAAAACCAAAAGAAAGTCGTATCCCTACTCTAAAAAATTTTCAGTCAAATGTTGGGCAATCTCAATTCCAAAATCATAAATTTTATTTTCGATTGACACCCCCACGAAGGAGTTTGACATGTCAGGAGTGTCCTGAAACTTTCAGTAGATTGAGATGTGAATGGGCAAACATCAGATATTTATTCACCATTTTTTAGCCCATTTACCTTGTGAAATTAGTTAGAAGATCTACATGCTTGAAATGAGAATTATTACTTGTATATGGTATTTTTGGAGTTTCGTAGAACATCGCATGGAAATATAAGAATATGATACATATACCAAAACAAAAGTGATACAATTGCAAAAAAAAATTCAGATGATAAGGAACTATAGTTGCAGATTTAAACCAAAAGCCCTCAAGTCTTCCTTGACTGAAAAATAAGGAAATGATAACAAAATCATTTATCCTACAAACTCACGGATCGTGTAGAACCAAGGATCTAAATGTATAAAATTTAGAGCTTAGTGACAATGAATATAACTAACCACAAGCAATAAAATAGATAATATTGATGATAAAAAGACAAATATTGTGTCGAAGAGACATCCAATGACCAAAAAATAAATCATTAAGGTACCACTGTCTGAATAGGTAATAATAATCATCAAATATATTAGCAAGTCTTTCCTAGATACTTTTTTATATTGACAAAACTGCAGTTGAGTTATAGACATGAAAATTGATTTGATCTCACCTGATGCCATTTGAATGTTGTCATCAGCTGTAGGTTCACTAGCCCTAGCTCCCATGTCAAAGAGTTCAACCCTCTTATTGCCAAGGCTGCTCATATACCTACAATGGCCCCAAATAGTAGAGGAAAACCTATCTTAAGGCACCAAATACCCAGAAGATGAAGAAAATGCATCACAACTGAAAAACAAGGATGACATATCACCACTGAAGAATTCATAGGAACAAAAACAGTATGAATTTCGTTGGATTACAAGCATTGTCATATTGATACCCTATCACCAATAAACTACTGTGACAACCAATTTCTTAGTACCAGTTTTCTACAAATATAAATTTTCACCGCAATATCAAACTTAAAATTCAATGCATAACTTTCCAAATCAACAAAAGCATTATTGGTATGTAACATGATGATGCAGAAAAACCATTCTACCTCTTGATAGGAGGTACGACTTACAAATGAAACAATGACTTCAAGTGATACATCTTACAACAACAACATTTTAGAACAGTCGTCCAACTACAGATGGCAAAAACTATAAACTAATTCCTATGTAATAACTAGGATTTAGGATACAAAATTTTGCTGATTTTATGACAAAAACAAAATCTTCAGTAAAATTTGGGAGACTATTAATCGGCATGAGCCACCTAATATTTATGCCAAAAACAAAGTCACAGTAATAATATTTTCAACTTACATGACCTGAGAAGACAATATCAACTCGGTAATGATACAGAAGTGATTCCATTCCAACCTCATGCATTCAAATTCCTGGTAGTGTGAGGAGTAGCTATTGTACCAAGGCGGATGCCATGCAGCTACAAGCCAAGGGGTCACACTGCGTAGTTGCTTTATCCAGGTTGTCTTTCAGCCAAGCATATTGGGCACCTATATTTACAATGTGACAAACACTAAGACTGATAACAATGAAATCTTCTAGTCGCAATCGTGCTTGCAATCTCATGGGTGTCAAGTGAAAAATAAAAAAAAATGTATTATCAATTATGATATTCAATAATATTGATAAAGAGAATGGAATCAATCACCAGAACTGTTATAGTCAACACATGCTCCCAACATGACAAAATGTACTCCTCCAGCATCAAAGGAGTAATAAAAGTTACTGTTGGAGCCAGACTCATTTGACGGAACAACAAATCTTGTAAGATATGATTTGAAAGTGATTCCGTCAGCTTGAGGCTCAATCTCATGGTTGGCTTCTATAACCATCATAGGAACTCTAGAGATAAGGGGCTCCATGAACCTAGATTTCTAATTTAGTTGTGTCAGTACACTAGAATGGATCGATTATTGCATATTATGCATCCAAATCCTTACAGCTTGTGCACATCATGCATATGTTAGAAGTACCTTAACGTAACTAGTAAGAAGTATCTTCGTTATTCCATTCATGCATGTAAGGCATGAAAAAAAATGGAAGATAAGTACTCAAACTAAGAACATGTAGCTTGTATACTGGAATAGACTATAGTTGATGGAAAGGAAATGTGCATTGATACGTTCAATCGAGTCCCGTTCGCTATTCCTATTTTATATCTAACATGAAGTCTTGCCTAAATTTTGCATGTTATAACAAAAGCATTCCTTGACAGAATTATAGGAAGATCCCCTGATATTACAATAATGACACATGTGACACCATCTACTCGAACAATGAAGAAATATCAGGTTTGTCAATCTGTAATCACATATGTTGCCTTCAACTCCAAACAGAGCAAAGAACTATTTATTGGTCAGCAATTACATCTTTTCAGTAGAAAACTTTAGTTATGCATCTAATGTAATATGGCTAACCTTTCTGAATAAGTAAATCTACAACATGATGCTAGAACAGTCACTTGTTATGTCACTGTTCATGTCACTGTTCACGTAACTGTTTAGCAGCTAAATTTCAGCAAAATATTTTGCAGTCAATTTACCTTTCAGCTAAAACACCAAACAGGCTGCATTGCTCAGATACATTACATCAGAGCAGGCTGCATGTGACCAAAAAGCAGGACAACATGAATTATTTAGATAGATAGATAGATAAATAAATAAAACCTTGCCATATGTAGATAGATAGATAGATGGATAGATAGATAAAAATGCAATTACCTCCCCACTTTGCCAAATCCAACCGAAACGCTTCCAAAGCACATTTCTGGCACATGGATTTTGCCATGTCAATGTACTTGACAGCAAAATAGTCAATAAAGACTACACGGTGAAGAGCTATCCACTTTTGAAAAGCATCCAAGTATAGATTTTACCAGAGTATCTTTCCAGCAATTAATACAGCTAAAAATGGTAAACAGCTTGCCAATGCCTTTCCTTCTACCATATTTCAAACAAATCAACACTCACACCATATAGCCAAACAATTAACCCTCATCATAACAAATGGGACTTAAAAGGCAAACCTCTCAAATAACATATTAAAACAACAATCACACATCAAAACCAAGATGGAAGTATACAATATTTTAATACATAAAAAAAATATAATTCACCAGCCACAAATTATGCAGAAGTCTCGAATTCATCTGTTATAAAAAAAAACATACATTACTAAATACTCAATCAAATTTTTGTTTTTATACTTCTTAAGTGTTGAACTTAAAACGTTAGTAAGAAGATACTTACTAAGACTCAGGTGGCATGTCTACATTAGTTGAGTTGTCCTGCAGAGCACGTTGCATTTGAAGTTGCATCTGCAAAATTTTTTGCATCATTTGCTGTTGCGCGTCTTCAAACTTCTATTGTGCTTCTTCAAACTTCTATTGTGCTTCTTCAAACTTTTGTTGTGCTCCTTCAAACTTCTCTAGCATCTCTTTCGTTTCATCACGTTCCTTCTAAAGAGAATCAACAGTTGTTTGTAGCTCTTTTATCATATCAGCTTGTTCTCGATACTCAATAGTGGATCTGAATGACTGACTAGAGGATGAAGGCTTCAGGCCATGTCCAAATCCTTTCTTATATCCAGATCGGCTACCAAGGACTGTGCATGCAATTTCATCCTGTGTCAATGGCTCTGCACCCTCTTCTAAGTTCTGTGTGACCAATTCTTTCATCCGCGCCTACAATTTAATATATTTAAACCCAATTATTAAGTGTATGAAAAAAAAAATTATTTAAAAAAAAAAACAAATTTTCCTACAAATTGAAATACTTACATATCTTGACTCTGCCTCAGCAGAAACCCACTCACCCTTCTTGTTCACATGAGAATCGTGGAAAAAATCAATAATGTGGGGTGGCTCATCACTCGTAGGGTCCCTCTGTTACAGTTAATCAAAATATCAATATTCAATTTTATGAATTTCCTATATATTAAAATTTATGAAGCAAATGCTAAATTATAACACCATTTCATATAGTGCAGGCTGAAAGGACTTTGAACCCATCGCGTGGTTGTATGGCAGTTTAGCACAATTTTTCGCATTTTTCTTAGCTTTGTCCTATATACAAAAAATATAATTAGTACACAATTAGGAATAAAAAGTGGATATTAATTTGCATAGCTTATAAAAGTTACCTGAAATTTTGGATCCTTGTAAAGTGTTTCAATTATGTACTCTCAATCCTCCTGACTCGCATCACCATATGACTTGCTCTTTGGGTCAACACCGGACTCAACCAAATCCTTGTAGTGCATATGCATATAGTATCGACGGTCCCTGTACCTCGCAACAAATTTTTTGTCGACAGCCTTCCTAACACTAACTTTTTCACGATAGTCTCTAATGTTAAACTTTGTCTACAACAAAATATAAATATACAAATTAAAACCATCGGTTGTAACACTATACACAAATAAATATATTGTTGAAACCAAACTAATGTATCCACTAACCAACAATCATGCAATTAGTGGTGCCTTCTCCTCCTCTGTTATTTGCTTCCATGTGTGCACATTTCTAATAGGGGCAAACGTCCTCGCCAGTGAGCCAATCTCTGTCATCACCTTCGAAGAATGTACACCCACTGGAACGCCGACTCCATCAGGAATCAAAACTTCAAGGGGGCCGTGAGATGCACGCATACGCTCAGCATTTTTTCCTCTAGACAGTCCTCGACCTCGTTTCTTGGTGGTAGAAGCTGCTGCGCAAACATTAAGTAAAAAATGTTAGCCCACCATATTAAGAAAAATATCTTTAGAAAGTAAAGTATTCATCAAACCTGTACTGCTACCCTTAGTGCCTGCAACAGGCTGTGATGTGGGTGCATCAGATGATACACCCCTAACATGTGTACTCGAGGATGCAACCTTACTAGCTGTTTTGGTGGCTCCGTGACCTGGTCCCATATATATAAAACACCTGACATATAGAAATATATAAATTATATCGACAATATCCAAGTAGCTCACAAATATAAGTTATAATTTATTAATTACCATGAAAATATCTTAATAATTCATCTACATATCTGACTCTTCATCAGAATCAAAATGGACATTCACATCATTATCTTCTTCTGAATCGACATACTCAACTTGTGCCTCATCATTGTCATCACATATGAAATCGTCAATGTTATTGTCCTCTCTACTTCCCCACTAAACAATCCGGTCTCGATGAATGATTTCCCCATCAAGATCAGTCCTATGAAGTTGACCTATTTCGTTATCTTCGATCACTACCGGAGCAACCTCTGTTAATTCATCCTATTGGAATGCGTCACTTGGAACATATGATCCATTTTCACTAACTTCTACATCTTTGTTTTCAGGAACATCCCATATTCCTCGATGATGTATGTGTTGCACAACTTGCCAATCTCTACCTAATTTTGTATCATGAACATAAAATACTTGTTTCACCTGATTAGGTAGTACAAAAGGGTCATTTTGATACCATCTACTTTTCACATTAATGCTTGTGACGTGAGCATCAGTCTGAACTGTTTTCCCACTACCAAGGTTGAACCATTCAAATTGGAACAAAAAAATACTATGGCCAAATATGTAACTCATCTCCTACACCTTATTTAAGTATTCATAGAAGTTAATTGTTTTATTATTATGTTCTCCTTCTACAACATCCCCAC